TCCTCATTGGTCTGAAAGTTATCTTATAGATGGTAGGTTAACTTCGTCAAAGCACAGCCCTGTCAGTTCTTACCATGGTAGAATGTTTGTATGGATATTGAAAATTGTGTCTGCTACTAATAGTGTCTGTCTTTTCATGATGGTTCTGTAGAACGGTTCACACGCTCAGCCATAATTTCCGCAATGCTACAAGAATTGATCGTGTGCGGCTGAGATTGCCCATGGAACCACATAGTGCTCTTGTTAAAATAATATACGCTGGTGTAAATGCTAGTGACGTAAGTCCTTTCATATATGTTTCAATTGCTTCTATTTTGATTTACTATTTCCGAACTGTCAGAAATGTTAGTGATTTGTTTCAGGTGAACTTCACTTCTGGCCGTTATTTCAGTGGTAATGCTAAAGAAGCTTCTGCACACCTTCCATTTGATGCTGGTTTCGAGGTAACTGATGGTCCCATATGTCCATTTTGAACTTAAAAGCATTTTCAATGTAGGAAGATGTTCTGTGAAAAAAAGTACACCATTCTTGTCATTTCCCCTGAGTGCTGTAATGACTCTGATTGTTTAATTGTGCCGGCATGAAAAGAACTTTCTAAGACAGCCGAGTTGTCAGCCTGTTGGTATGACATCCAACTACATGATGGCACAAACTATGGCTGACCCCGAAGGGCAAGGATAACGTGCTCACTCTTGATCGGCTAGGTGGGAAACAGTTACTCTTGGTGTAGAGTAAACCGAGAACATTGGCATGCCTATGCGATATGCCTCCATCAAACCAGCTTGCACCTCTAACGATTTGATATGGTGTTGCTGCATTAGTTCTTACATTCTTACACGAGAATTTAATGTATCTTATCTATAAAAACCAATATACGCAGGCTGTGGGAATTGTTGCTTCTGTTGGAGATTCGGTGAGACATATCAAAGTTGGCACTGCTGTGGCCCTTATGACCTTTGGGGGCTATGCCGAATTTACAGTGGTACTGCAGTCTATGTATTTTTGTTGCAGAAGAAATTACCACCTAATCTGCGCCCTCTTTTGAATGAAATCATTTCTGACCTTTTGAATTTTTACTTTTCCATATACTTACCTCTGTCTTCAAAATTTCCTGCTAAAAGGTTCCAGCCAAACATCTTCTTCTGGTGCCAAGATCAGACCCCGAAGTAGTTGCTATGCTAACATCAGGATTGACTGCTTCAATTTCTCTTGAAAAGGTTATCTTGCTATGCAGTTACCACTTTTGTCATACACCATCTGTGTTTTTAGCTCTTATTTGATCACCAGAACTTAAGTTCACTTCTGGAATATAACTTCCCTCCTGGTCTGGTCTGGTCTGGGTTGTTTTCTGTTACCCTTTAGTCAGGTCAAATGACATCCGGACAAGTTATTTTAGTTACAGCTGCTGCTGGTGGGACAGGACAGTTTGCTGTTCAGGTCAGTTGATGGCATTTTTTATTTTATGCCATCGTTACTTTATTTTGTTTGATGCAATACTCAGTTGCTCGTCTACTTCATAGTTATCTAGGCGTTAAAACAGGATAGTAATGTTTTATCCACATTTCCCTTTAAGAACTTGCACAAGATAACTATTTCATACACTCGGAAAACATATAGTTTGTCTTTCATGATTAGCCAGCACTGCCACTGGAGCATGTTTTGGCCCCTTGCATGTGCTTTTCTTGCATTGAATACGATATTTCTAGGACATGGGCAAGTCATCATCTGTGATTTTTTTTGCTCTATGTGCTATATGTTTTGTTACCCTGATCCATGTCTGTATGTTCTGATATTTTCTCCGTCACTTCACTAGCTCGCTAAACTAGCTGGCAACAAGGTTATTGCCACATGTGGTGGCGGGAATAAAGCTGCACTTCTGGCTTCATTAGGGGTTGATCGAGTCATCAACTACCAACATGAAAAGATAAAAGATGTATGCCTTCTTCCAGTTTTAATTTTCATACTTCTACCGCTTTGCATGCAAATGATGCAATTTTGCTGTCATGTGTGGTTGTGTGTTGTGCTCATATTGGTAGCATCTTCTTTTTTTATCTTTGTACTTTGACAGTATGTTCAAAATATATTGTCTAGTTCATTATATCCTCCTATTGCGAGGCTGTGTCCTACCTCTACTTATAATGCAGAATGTGTGTTGGGAATGCTTGAATTACATGTATGATCTAATGTCTCTCTGGAGAATGTTTACTATAATAGTAGTGTCTCCGAAATGATTAGTTTGAACTTACTCCCTCTGTAAACAAATATACGATGTTTTAGGTCATAATTATAATTTACTACACTAATCCTTTATTTATTCTTCTTGATAATTTTAGCAATTGTTTCCTGACTGAAAAAATTAGGTACTAATGAGTGTTTCGTTCCAGGTTCTGAACAAGGAGTTTCCAAGAGGTGCAGATATAGTTTATGAATCTGTAGGCGCTGAAATGTTTGACTTGTGTTTGAATGCACTTGCTGTCCGTGGACGCCTCATTGTAATTGGTATGATCTCTCAGGTATGTATATTTTTGACATTCTCTGAACCTGCAGTTACCTATTTAACACTCTGAATGCCAACTTCAGAGAGGGAATAGGTTATGTTTCATTTGTTCCATGCTTCACCAAGGAGAATATTTGCCTACCCAAACTTGTTTGGGACTAAAAGGCTTTGTTGTTGTTGTTGTTGTTGTTGTTCACCAAAGAGAATATTTCATAGATTTTATAACAAATGAGCAGTTGAGTAGCGGTTTGCATAAACTCATCAGTGAAGTAGCTGAAGTGCCGCAACAAACTGAATGTTGAAATCAATCGATTATGCATCTGCATCAACAGTTGGGAACGTGTTGATCTATTATGATTATGTTGATACATACCTAATATATCGTTGTTAATTATCCTTTTTCTCCTTGTACTTAGTTTTGATAGGAACTTGCAGTTTGTTTGTACTGTATTGATATAAGTGTACTGAGAAGAGTAACTGATGTTTTCAGTATCAAGGAAAGGATGGATGGATGCCACGGAATTACTATGGATTGTGTGAGAAGATTCTTGGAAAGAGCCAAACTGTGGTATGTGTATGCAGTAGAACACTGGAACTACTCAGTTTGCATGCACTGCAATATATTTGCTGCTTAATAATTTGGTCATGAGGAAATCAAGCAAGTGCAATCTTACTGAAGTTAAAGCTGAACGAACCACAACACTGGTAAAAATATTGTTTTCCACTGGACACATTTGATCCGAAGATAACATGAGTTCGTTTGTTCCTTTCTGGTTAGCACAGCAACAGATGCAGCAACCTCATTCAACTCTCTGTGACTATACCACTCCCACCTGCTCAAAATTACATGTGTGGTCACAAACTATATGTGGGCAGACATTGAGTCATACATATAGAAATCTGCATCCAACATGTAGTTCTTCTGTAGTGTACTCAAAACTATGAGCTCTTAATTTCCTTTACGATCTCAGGCTGGATTTTTCCTGATTCAATATGCCGATCTGTGGCAAAAACACCTTGACAAGCTTTTCGATCTGCATGCGTCTGGGAAGTTAAAGGTATGTGTTCTCTGTCTGTGATGGCAGTCCGCCAAATGTCAGTAACCAGACAGATATCTCTCGATTGAATAATTCAAGTAGGACCTGCATTAGGTAACAGGGCAGAAACCTCAGCAAGCCACGCAAAGCAGAGCCTGATAAATAAATACGTTTCGCGGTAATATTATGTTAAGCAATGAAAAAGGTGCATACGCAGCATTCCAGTCTCCCACGTTGCCTACTTTTAACCAGAATGCTGATGCTTCGTACTTTCCAGCTGTTAACTGAATTAATATTAGTTGTTGCCCCTCCATTTTCACTACTCTTGTTTTTCTCTCGTTCTAACTTACTTTGCTGCTCACGGCATGCAACAGGTTTCCCTTGACCCCAAGAAGTTCGTAGGTGTTGCTTCTGTGGCAGACGCAGTAGAACATCTCCATTCTGGCAGGAGCGTTGGCAAGGTACCGCCGTTGCCATGATATAAACCCATAACTACAGGAATGCCTTTCTTGGCAGTTGTATTTCACCTTACATTTTTTTCTTCTTAATTTGGGACTTGTTCAGGTGGTTGTCTGCATGGATCCAGCATACAGTCAGACCCTGGCTAAGCTATAGTCTACACATATATGAGCTGCAATATCAAGATCTCAGAGTATGATACCTACAGAAAATGCAGAGTGATCTGCGATAAATGTGTAGGTTACAAGCCTTGAGGTTCTTCCAACTATTTTCATGTCTATCTGGCGAACCATATACCACTATATTTCTCAGCGCCACAGTGCTGTTATATATGAGCATGTTTGTTCGTAGCAATATACTTGTAGCACGATGTGAGTAAATGAAAGAGCAATCAAGTTGAGATCCGCTACATTAACTGGCCCGGGCGATCATATTCTATTTGAATAAAGTGTTATGTTCGATGGTGTAATGTTGGCAACTTGGCATGCATGTTTCTGCATGATAGCTTAGCACGTGTAGAGCGTAATAAAATACTTGGGAAACTAGGAATATTTCCTGACTATGTGGACACAAAGATACACGTGGCATCATAGCCCTGACATCTGATGTTTTAAAACGAAATGTTCTTTTGTACAGTTCACAAAATGCTATGTTTTTTTATCGTCTGAGAGCAAGTACAATACGGTAGTGTAAGCTATAATGATTCGAAAATACACAGAGCAAGTACAATACGGTAATGTAAGCTATAGTGATTCAAAAATACACAGGTGAACATGGTTCCACGTGCACCCAGGTGAATACTAAATTTAAAACAAACACTAGAAAAATTCAAAACAATCTGAAAATTTTGGATTATCAAACTGGTCGATCATTCTACTCATGCGTGAAGTTTTCTAATACTTGTGGGCATCCTTAGTGAAGAAAATACAATCAGGTCCTTACTATTCAGCAAACAATGGTTTCTAAAATAGCATCGATTTTGTTATTTTTGTCTAGAATACCATGGATGTCATTTTTTCATGAAACTTCGTATGTAAGTATATGAGTCAACTATGTATGTTACAAAAGATATTCAGATTTTTTAGTATTTTTCTGAATTTACTATTCATAAACTATGCATGTGGAACCATGTCCACCAAATTCCTGCCCATAATCAGATCTTGCGCTTCGGCCGTTGCCCCATCCGCATCCCGAGCGCCGCGTTCGCTAGTTCTTTTTTTTGTTTAACAGGTACATATGAATTGCTCGCTCACGCTCGTGCTATCGATCCCGATTTCCCCGTTCCAATCTGGTCGATGCTAGGCGCCGGCGCACCGGCCGAACAGTTTCGGCCGGTCCAGCCCTAGCCGTTCGATGCGCGCAATTAGGAGCCGTTCGATCCCCCACGTTGACTTCCCTTCTCCTTCTTCCTCTCCTCTCCCAGCCGCCGGCCGTCACCCCGTCACCTGGACCTCCTCTCTCCGCCCCCTTCCCCGCTACTGGATGCCGCACTCGCCACCGGTCGCCGCGCTCACCGCCGGTCTCCGCCGTCTTCTCTCATGTTTCTCGTCGGGATCCACATGCAGCAAAAACTTCGCCCGTGGGTTGCAGCTCCCCTCGTTGGTGATGGCCGCGGCTTCGGCAACGCCAGTTGCCGGTTGCAGCTCTGGCAGCTTGCAGTCCCGCGCCTCGCCGCTCGCAGTCCAGCGCCCCCGTCGGACCCCCTGATTAAAGGTTGTAGCAAAATTCATCAACGGTGGCAGCAAAAAACATCGCTGGTTGAAGCTTTTTTCCAACTGTTGATTCCGGTTGTAGCAAAACTCGACGCCGATGGTAGCACGGCAAAATGCAGCTTGTAGCAAAACTGGACGCCGGTTGCAGCTCCTGGTCGTAGGTTGCAGCTATCTACTGTCGCCGGCCACAAGTTTGCCGTCTTTGGTTGCAACACGTCAGTCCGATAGTTGTAGCTTTTTTTTATTGCCGGTCGTACCTTTTCGTGGCGTGGATTGCAACTTTTCTGATCTCCCAGTTGCAGTTGTTTGTCGTCATCGGCCAAACTACACCGTCGAAAGATTGTAGCAAATAAAGACGCCGGATGTAGCAAAAAAAATGATACAGTTGTAGCAAAAACCAGCTGTGTTTCCAACTCACTTATCGGTTGCAACAAAAAACAGCTATGGTTCCAGCTCTGAATTTCGCCGGTTGAAGTAAAACAAAATGATGGCTCCAGCATCGTTGTCCACTCGTTGGCGTCACAACCTTCACCATGGTCGTCCATGGAGGCTCGTCGGCATGGCTCGGCATGGTGCCCCTGGCGCGGTCCCAGCACCTCCGTCGCGGCGCCCCAATACGGTCCCGTTACCTCCGTCGCAGGAGCATCTATGCACCACAGAGCATACGAAGAAGCCCAAAAATACAGTAGGGGATGGGCCTGGGGCGCAAAGGGGGAGGTGGGAGAGAGGTTGTTGGTCAGCGGCGGGACGCGGGGCGAGGCGTGCGCGGCCGCGCGAGCTCACCTGGCGGTGGTGGTTCGCCGGGGAGTGAGAAGAAAGAAAGAAGGATCTGGGAGAGGGCGCAGGACATAGATTTGCTTCGATCCAACGCGTCGTGTGCGTCCGGCGCAACGGTTCGGCCGGCACACCGGATGTAAACATTTCCCTTCCAATTTTCTTCGCACGATCTTGTTGGGTAGTTTCCTTTTTTTGCACGACCCGATGCGACTTGATCGCTAGTTTTCCTCCCTATTTTTTTGGAACAAATCGATCCCGTGACTTGATTCGTACGTCACATCAGATTTTTTGAACGCTGGTTATTTTTCCCTTGAGATTTTCATCTGCGGGATTCTATCCCTAGCCATCATGATAGCAAATATTTATCTTTACCTAATAATAAAGCAAAGTGGGTTTCTTTCGTCCGTCATAGCATTTTTCAGAAAAGTCCCTCTATTTCAGAGAATTCAACCCTCAGTCTTGTTTTAAGTTAAAACGAATCGTTATTTTCGTATTTTACACAAAACCCATGTCTTTTCTTGAAATCAACCCGCCGCCCGGATTTAAGTCACATCCGAACCGTTATTTTACATTTTTTGAAACCCCCCCACCCCCTGATGTTTTAGGTAATTCATCCGCGGATCATATTTAAGTCAAACAAATGCTTTTTAAAATCATCCATATCTTTTAAACCGTAACTTCGATTTGAACATGTTATATATGAAATTTGATTAGAAAAATATTTAGAATATGAATATGAGATTATTTTTACCTGTTAAGTATTTTTAAATATTATTTTGGAATATAGTTGAGTCAAACCAAATGATTTTCTAAATTATCTGTATCTTTTAAACCGTAACTTTGATTTTAACATATTATATATGAAATTTTATTAGAAAAAAGTGTGGAATCTAAATATGATGCTAATTTTACCTGTTAAATATTTTTAAAATATTGTTATGGAAGCAAACTTATAATTTATAGCGCAAGATTCGTTTTTTTCATACCGGCGGCGATCCGGATTGCAAATAAACACCCCACTATAAGCATATGCGGAAAAGGAAACATCGATAACTCCACATGCATACCTCGGAAAAATGTCGCAGGGGAAAACAACAGATTTCTCATCGCGAGAGTGAGAGAAAGTGAGCGAGCGTGAGAGAGAGAGGAAGAGGGAGAGGGAGAGGGAGAGGGAGGAGAGAGGGAGAGAGAGACGCCTTAGGATTAATCATATTCAACACACATTTTTTGTTGTTTTGTGTGAACACCGAGGCCATCGTCGGCGAGGGTGAGAAGAAGGATAAGCGGCAACACAAATATGATGCATCGCAAAAATAAAAAAGATGGACCTATTGTGGTCTTGAGTGATAGTTATTGATTTAAGAGCGTGTGTTATGTTTTCTCTCCCATTGCAACGCACGGGCTCTTCTGCTAGTAAACCTCATCCTAATAGCCAACACCCCTCTATTAATTTCCTACACTTTGAAAATGGCACGATGCTATTTAACCATCGAAAATCTTATTTGGTGCATCATTTTATTTTTGAAACGAAATCGAACATATCCCTCGCCGTTTGTTTTTGAGTCACGCGACGTGAACGTCGTTCCTTCTGTCACCTGTCAGTTTACGCCGGTGCGCAAACTATGGTAATCATGGTAATTTACACAAGTTGACCTGATAACTTATGTACCTTTTTTTGCATAGTAATACGTATCTCATTCATATCATAAAGAACTAAATACAAGTCACGTAAGAACTGACATGACAAAACCGAAAAGATAGCAGAACATCTCCGAGCTTGACACCAATGCTCGTCACCTGCCTTCAGCACCACCACGACATCCATCGAAGAAAAGAATAACAGATCAACTCCTCACCCGAGCTCGACGCAGCTCCATTGCTGACATGCAGCTTTGCGGACCTTCAAGGTGGCTCACCAAAAGTGAAGTCATTGCCGTTGAACGAATCAGACCGGGACAACACTCCGGACACGTCATCGAACTTCAGATCTGGCACCCTACCACGTAAGACGCAGAAGGAGGAAACCATACCTTCCATTCATGAACCACGAACCCAGCACACGTTCCATCTTCCAGATGTCGTCGATACAGACCACAATCTGCATCCGCTCCGGGACTATCTCCCAAGCTCCGCGCCGACGCTGGAGCAAACGTCGTCGCAACGGCGGAGCCCGAGGACACAGGTCCACCACGAGGATGCGCCGCCGCCACGCCATCCTTGCTTGAACCGACTGGTTTCCAAATCCATCCCCAACCATAGGATCGATGGCCTCGTCAAGGAAGGATCCGAAGAATCTTTATTCAGCGTCGTCATCGTCGCCGCCGAAGCCAAAATGATGAACAACCTAAGAATCTACTTTACAAGGAAGTAAAAACAATTCACACGTGTGGATCCGGCGACCCCCCTACCACCGACAACTGGGGTCGCCGGCGAATGGGAGCCGTCGAAGGACGACGCTGAAAGAGGGCCTCTCCTGGCGGCGGCTAGGGTTCCAGCCACCAGGGAGAGAAAAATGATCAGAGACGACCTCAAACATGAAAGTAGAAGTAGAAGTGATAACTTACGTACCCTTACCATGGTAACTTTGAACCGGGGGGAAAGTAGTTGAAACATACCCCGGTAACTTCCGTATAAATTTGCTTACGCACTGCATACCTGATAACTCAC